TTTGTCATGCAGGAGGAGTTCTCGTGAGTTAGCATGGGTTTGGGATTTGATTCTGTGAGGAAACTATTAAAGCCTTTTCCACTACTGAGCCTTGATAAAGAAGAATGTTGAAATGTGAAGATAGCTCTTCTAGTCAAGACCAATGACTGTCACTTTTCTCAATTAATTTAATTATAGGTATTTTAAGGGTCATGATTCTTGATAAAGACTGAAAACGAATAAAAGGGTGGCAGATTGGAATTCTTACACGATTGTTTCCACCCTGTTATTAGAAATAGTAGATAGAGAACACTGGACTGTGTCTTTGAGATTGATGTAATTTCAGACCAACCCAATGCCCTCCCCACCCTACAGAATGATTTTTCTTCTTGGAATACCACATTGGCAGAAAGTAAACTCAGGGAACTGGAGAGGTCTTAAGATTCCAGATAATTTTGATCTTTGCCTTCTGAGACTTTGAGAGATTAAAACGAGAAAACCTTCTTTGTGAGCAAATCAGTAAAACGAGATACCATAAATAGGCACTACTTTCTAGAGCAACAAAATAAGACTGATTCTTAGGCAGAATTGAATTTTCAGAAGACCAATGTGTTCTTCCTTCTCTGCCCTTTAATCCGCTAGAAAGAACACACTAGAAATACAAAGAGGTGGTTAGTTTTTTATTCAGTCGGTAGTCCTACATATTGAGAAATAACAGCCCCCCCCCTTTATTTTTAGCTTCTGATTTCTTTCTAGTCTTGAAATTGAAGCTAAATTTCAGTGTAGCAAATATTCTTAAGAGATTGCTTTTAATCCTCTCAACGGTGGGAGTAAATTAACAAACCTGACCCTTGTCTTTAATTGGCAGGCGTGATGGCAAGGCTCTTGAGAGATTCCTGCAGGATTACTTTGATGGCAACCTGAAGAAATACCTGAAGTCTGAGCCTATCCCAGAGAGCAATGATGGGCCCGTAAAGGTCAGGCACTCACAGCCTACCCAGGCCTCTGTGCAGCTGCCTCCTCATTTCTTCCAAAAATGCTAGGTCTAAGTGAAGACCTTGTTTGCTATCATGTTTTTGTTTGTCCTCACCTTCACTCCACCTACCCAGAGTCATAAAATAAGCATTGGCAGAGCTCGTAATGCTTAAAGGGGCAGGAGTATAAAACCTTCATAGAATTTTCTGTTGGTATTTATATCAAGCTAGGTTACTCTTTGGGACAGAGCAAGCTAACTGCTAAGAATAATTTTAAGATTTTTTTTTTTTTAAGATTTTATCAGGGATTTGCGAGAGGGGAACAGCATTGGGCAGTCGGGGAAGGGGAACAGACAAGTTGCTGACCTTTTGTTCTGCAGTCTAGTTGTGGAGGACGTCGCTTTACTGGCCCATGTTGGTACTATGATCATTGCGCTGTTCCTGGGTGAGACAGTCGCTCACTGGCCATTGGATGGCCGCTCACAGCGGCTCATGGCAGCTCACGCCCGCTGCCAGCCACTCACACTGGCTGCCAGCCACTCACAGTAGATCACCGGCAGCCCACTGCAGCATGGGCAGCCTATGCCGTCGCCAGCAACTCAGGGCAGCCCAGCTTCGGGTTGAGCTGTTGTTCACCATCTTAGCTGTTGAGGGCGCAGCTTCACTGACCCTCATGTGGGATCTGAACCCCGGGTCCCTGCTGCTCAGAGCTGGCATCCCAAGCCAACTCTTAACCCAGCGCACCACTCGGCCAGCCCAAATTTAAGATTGTTGCTCTGAAATTATTTTAAGGCAGAATTGGGTAGCACTTGTTTCCTGTGACTTCCTGAACATAATTTGACAGGATACAGACACAGGAATGAGTTGGTTTCTGGGGAATGGCAACATCTTTAATACAGTCTATAAATGTGATTTGGGTTCCAGTGACATTTTCAGTGGCAACACATCCAATTTGAGAGGGATTGGGTCCAGAAACAAATATAGCTCATGAATTTTTTCTTCAACTCGTCTTACCAACTAGAGAATCTCCTGTGTTTTCCAGGTAGTGGTAGCAGAGAATTTTGACGAAATAGTGAATGATGTAAATAAAGATGTGCTGATTGAATTTTATGCTCCTTGGTGTGGCCACTGTAAGAATCTAGAGCCCAAGTATAAAGAACTGGGAGAGAAGGTAAGTCTGAACCACATTCTGAAGATCAAATTTGAGTTGGGATGTTTACACACGTATTTAGCATTGACTAGTTACCCTAATTAGTTCAGTGCCTAAGTAAGTACTGTTACTTTTCTCCTGACTTCCGCCAAGTGTCTAGCCTGTGTAGTGCTTCAAATACCTGCTTTAACTTTCCACTCAGACTCAGTCTAGATGATGGTTAAAAGTATCCAGGCTTCTGAATTTTGGTAATGGCTTATATGCATCCATTATGTTCCTTCATCTTAAACCACTTGCCTTAGCCCTTAGCACTTATGTCTTATTTAGACCAGGTAGTTTTGAAAATGGCTGTATGTAGAGTCTTAATGTAGAACCAAGAGAGAAAAGGGAAGCTTGTGAAGGGCTAGATACTATGTGCAAGTGTTATTACTCTTCCCATCTTAGCAGCAAAACTTACCCAAGTGTTTAAAAACTGTGATTGTTTTAAGTCCTGAATTGACTAAATATCTCTGTCACTGAAAACTTGAAATTTAAAGATCTAACCTTTTTATTAACAGCTCAGAAAAGACCCAAATATTGTCATAGCCAAGATGGATGCCACAGCCAATGATGTGCCTTCTCCATATGAAGTCAGAGGGTAAGTAGATTAAAAACTAATAAAGGTGTATAGGCATTTGACAAGAAAAAAATAAGCTTGTAAACTATTTTTTATTGGGTATGGTGTGGGGAGTCCTCATACTCCAGTTGAGCACAAAACCACTGATGCCTTCCTGGCTCAGAGTTCTGCAGCATGGGCCCACCTGACTGCCACAGATTTTGTGAGCTCTCATATTCCTGAGTTTTGATAGGGTGTAAGTTAGCCACTGATGGAGGCTGGTATCTGGTCAGATTAAAAATCAGGAAGAGAAGTTATTCCTATAAATACCGTATTTGCCGGCGTATAAGACGATTTTTTGGCCCTGAAAAATATGCCTCCAAGTGGGGGGTCGTCTTATACGCCAGGTACACTTCAGATAGACTGCCCATAGTGCTTGCCCCGTGCCATAGTGGCCTCCCGATGCCCGCCCACTTCATTCCACATACCGTTCAGGCATCAGCAGCGCTGCTGGGTGTATGCTCGGCTGTTATGCGATTTTGCTGTTATGCGATTTTACCACACTCGCAAAATCGCACACAGCCGACCATATAACAAACTCTCTATTTTGAGTGGACATGTTAGGGGGTCGTCTTATACGCCGAGTCGGCTTATACGCCGGCAAATACGGTAGTTATGTCAGAGTTACTCTGGAACCTAGAATTAATCAACTCTTTTTTTTTTTTTTTCTTTCCCCAGTTTTCCTACCATCTACTTCTCTCCAGCCAACAAGAAGCTAGATCCAAAGAAATATGAAGTAAGTGCTTTGTCTCATTTCTCCACAAATAAACATACACATACATACACACTTGTACTTATCTAGCACTTTCGTTTATTTAACTAGAAACTTTAAACTTTCACTGTCAATATATGTGGTTGTTAGTGTGTTTTTACAAACTCAAAAGTCTTCCTATTGGGAGAAAAATACCAGGGTTCTTTAAAAGGATAAATTTTCAAAGTAATCTTTCTGTTTTCAGGGTGGCCGTGAATTAAGTGATTTTATTAGCTATCTACAGCGAGAAGCTACAAACCCCCCTATAATTCAAGAGGAAAAACCTAAGAAGAAGAAGAAGGCACAGGAGGATCTCTAAAGCAGCAGCCAAACATACCACTTTGTAAAAGGACTCTTCCGCCAGAGCTGGGAAAACCATTGGGGAGGCCTGGGACCCATACGGAATTATTACCTGTCAGGGCTGAAAGGACACATGGGTATAATCTGAATCTGAATCCTGTTAAATTTTCTCTAAACTATTTCTTAGCTGCACTGTTTATGGAAATACCAGGACCAGTTTATGTTTGTGGTTTTGGGAAAAATTATTTGTTGGGGGTAATGTTGGGGGGGTGGGGGGAATTGAGTTGGGGGGTTATTTTCTAATTTCTTTTGTACATTTGGAACAGTGACAATAAATGAGCCCCCTTTAAACTGTCTTTTTTCCATGAGATGGGAGACCAAAGGTTCTCTAGGCCAGCACTGTCCAATAGAACTTTCTGCAATAATGGAAATGTTCTGTAATCTTCATTGTCTATTGTAGTTATTGAACCTTTGAAATGTGGCTAAGAACTATATTTTAAATTTTCATTAAATAGTCACATATAGGGCTAGTGGCTACCATATTGGTCAGTACAGCTGTATGTAGACCAACTAACTGGGTCCATAGTTTTCACCTGTAAATCCTTTCCAAAGTTTGTCCCTTTCAGTCTTACATATTTATTGCCCAGGCCCCTAGCCTGATAATTAGAATAGGCGAGGGACCTTTCTTGTTGGGCTGTTTCTGACCCTGTCCATGCCCTATGATGGGTTGCTGTTTATCCTTGCCATGCAACTGAGCATGTTTTTACCTCCCAAGGGCTGTTGTCTGTACAGAAATGCCCTGTGGGTGTGGCATTAGGTTGGGGTTCCATCCAAGTTGTTTCAGGAATTGCTGACACTGCTGGGTGCAGCTCTATCCTCCTAAGCTCAGGGTGTGGCCTATTAACTTCCCTCTCTAGTGGACTGGGAACAGTAGTATCATTCCTACTTGTAAATGAAGCATCCGCTTTCTTCTGCAACAATGAGGAATGAAAAGGATAGGACTGGTGTGATCTTTTATTCAAATGAATTGAACCATTTCCCCTTTTCCTTTTTGTGAACAAATACAGATCCCATCCACAGTTATAGTTTTCAGTTACTGGGTAATTCCAGAGAGGAGTCCTAATTATAAGTTATCCTCAACCTTGATGTTTAGAAAAGAACTTTATTCCTACTGTAATCTCTAGTTGTCAGTTATAAAATGGATTTGGTAGAGCCTTGTACAATAGCACAGTATGTATCAGGATCATCCATAGTGCTTTTAAAAAGTAAAGATGCCTAACCATGATCTTGGAGGTTCTAAGTCACAAGACCTGGGCTGGGATCTGGGGATCCAATTTTTTAGAGCCCAGAAGTGGTTCAGATATATAGCCAGGAGTAAGAACCACTGCCTTAGAAGGTTTAAGGAAACCATTATCAACTTACAAAGGACACAGAAACAGTTTTAAGTTTTTAGCCATGTTTGTAAAAGAATTCACTTACAGTACATGGGTAAGACCCAAGCCCTTTCCCATTATATCCAGGTGTATTAAAGTTCCTTTAGCTCTGTTCCCAAAAGATCTCATTGTTTCTTTAAGGGAGGCTGTTAGGCTAAATTTTAATGCCCTCAAGGTATATTGTCCTGGAAATGGTGTCATTTCTCAGGATTTGAAAATGACTTGGCTGAACTAAAGGTGAAGAAGCCAAGCCTCTACTGCTTTTCCTAGTCTGCTGGGCACAGCTGTGGAGTGTTGGCACTGTGCCCAACCCCTAAAAATTAACATGGCAACAATGAAAATCAAACCTTAGCCTAGAGCAGCTCTCCTTGCCACCATGGACTCAGCAGTAAGAAGAGCAGACAATTGCACTCTATTTAGTTTATAGCTGCTTTGTTCCTTCATATCTCACGGGGCAGAGGGTCAAAAGCCCTCTGACTGCTTCAGCTGCACCTGTTCTTTTCCTCAAACTCCAGGATGAGACCTTTAATGTGGGACAATTTCTGATGCAGGTACTCACAGCGACGCTTTTCTTCCTTGTAACCTGGGTACCGCTGCAGAGAAAAAGCATCCGTGTCAAAAAAAAAATTTTTTTTAAACCATTTCTGCCTTCTTGCTATCATTTCCAGTCCTTGCTTACCTTCCTGAACTTTTTATATTCCTGGACTATCTTTTCTTCCAGCACCTGAAACAAAGAAAATGTTAGCACCAACTTTAACCTTGAGAAAAAGGCTCCAGTTCTCTTATGGGAGGGAAGTAACTTCCCTTCTTATGCTACCAAATGATACAGACTGATTTTTTCTCTCAAAACGAGCTTGCATGTCACTTTTTTGGTTCGCTGAGTAAACAGGTTTATGGGCATTTAGCAGAGAGTTTATATAGCCAGTAGAGCTGGAAGGCTAGCCTGGGTCCAGTCCTTACCTTGTGTTCTGGAGTTCCTCGCTGAACTCTCTTGATCTCTGCTCCCAGGTCTATGAATTTTTGGCTTGCAGCCCCAAATCGAGCATGCAGGATGCGGTATTCAGCATAATCTGCCTCAAAGTCCTGCTCATAAGCACGTTGCTGCTCTGCACTGTGGATGGCTCCATATTGCCTGCCAGGAGCAGAGAGTTACCATCTTCAATTTTATTGCCCCCCAAAGCTTCCAGCTCCCAGGAAGTTTTTCTTAATATCTCATATGTACAAGGCTTCATAAAACTGGAAATGGCAGAGGACTCACAGGAGGTAATCTGGTACCTCTTCAGGGCTTGGGGATTCAGAGTCTACAAAGGAAGCAAACAGACATGAACATGGTGATTATTGGTCTTTTTTCCTCCCTCTATAGCAGTTTTACCCTCCTCTTATTAACTCACCTGCTTGAACTGAGGGGCTATGCTCCAGCTTGGGGTCCATATCTTCATGTTTATCTTCTTGCTCCCAATCTTCTCCCTCTTGTAGGTCCTGACTGGGCAGCCCTTGTAGAGAACTTGGAGCTAGAGGCAGAGTTCTGAGCCTCTTTTCTTTGAGTTCTTTAGTGGCTGCAGGTGCTGGACGTTTCTGTTGGGGAAAATACCTTTGTCACACAAACAGTATGTAATAAGCCTATTCTGCCCTTCTCTTGAAAATTACTTCCATATAATGATCTGTGAGAGTATCAAAATGAAGCCTTCCAATTTAAAATTTTTAGCCTGACTGGACAAAGCTCTGAAAACCCTTGCTATTACAACTTACCTTGCCCAGATGTTTCTGGCCAGCAGAGGAAGGCAGTGCCTGATCAGGCACTCTGTTTGGACGATGGCTCTGGTTCCTAGGATATTTGAAGAAGGAATGGGAGAGATGAAGACCAGAGTAGGAGGTAGGGCTAGATTTCTTAATTCAGCATTTAGGGTGGAGATTCAAGGAAGATAATACCAGGGATTCCCAGGTTAGTCCCACCCTGCCCCAAGTACCTCACTTCCCACCGAGCCGTGTGTTCCCTTGAGGATCCTGGGAGTAACTGTCCTTGGCTGCTTGCCAGTGGATCTGGAACCTGGCAGGGAAAGTGGCAGGGGCACTTGACTCCCTGAGCTTCAGGCTTTGCCCCACCTTATCCCAACTCCCTGCAGTTTGTGGCCTCACCTCTTCTAGTGTCATTTGTGGCTGCGAAACAGCATCTCCTTCAGAATAGTCTCCCATGTTCTGCCAATCCTCAGGATCTCTGGCATCTTCAGTCAGATTGTGACCCTGAACTGAAGATGGGGCTGGGATAGAATCCATGGCTGCCCAAATAGTGAGGCGCTCCCTGAGTGGGCCCAAGCAGTGGAGGCGGTTAGGCCCAGATCTGGAAAGGGGTGGTAGAAAAAAACCCAGGAGGGTGGAGAACTTGTAAGCACCTCTCATCAGCCCCCTCCCGGACTTTCCACAAACCCTTTCTCACCTGCTACCTGTTTGTTCCCCCTTACCTGCCTAAACGTTGGCACACAAGGTCCAAACCACCACCAGGGCCCTCCTGGCCACACTGGGACACTATGAAGGAGAAGAGGCAGGACCATCCAGGGCCTGGGAGCCTCAGATACTGGGGGTGAAAGGAGACCGTAAGCCCCATGAAGTCAACCCCTCCCTGTCGAGCCAATGTCATTCCTCCCTGAGCCAGCCTAAGACTGAAGATGGGTCCCACGGGACTCGTTAGCACACCAGGTGCAGCTGGGCCTGAGTTCCCAGGAGAGTGAGACGGCCACAGTCTCTTCAACCGCAGCCTCCTGGGACCACAGCCCCAGCAGCCCCCTCACCCCATTCGGGGTTCAGTTCTCGGAACTTCTTCAGACCGTGACTACTTTCAGCTTCCCGCCAAGACCGTACCTTCCCTGAGCCCGGGTCTGTTCTCCCCACACCCCATCTCCTTCACACACTCCAGGCCACCACCTACCCCTCGGTTGCCTTGGAAAGCGATCACGGGTGGAACCTGCGGGGAGAGCATAGATGCGAGCTGAGCGCAGGTGAAGCGGCGTCCCCAGGATCCGGCGTGTAGTGCCCAGAGGGACCTGCCTCACAGGGTTCACTTGGAGAAGTGGAGAGGCTGAAACCTGTGAATTCTGCTCCCCATCCCCAGGTCCCTTCGCTGGGGTCTCCTGCTGAGGCCCGAGGTCCCGAGGGGTAGGGGCTAGGGAAGATGGAGCCCGGGGCCGGCCGCACCTGTTGCCGCTGACACTCTTGCAGCGCCCGCAGCGCCGCGTCGTTGAGCCTGAGCATCAGGAGACTGGTCCGGGCAGAGGGGTTGAAGCTGAGCCGGCACTTTCCACTCAGAAACTCCTGGGGTCCCTCCATGGCCGCGAGGTCGAGCGCAAGCAGAACCCAAGCCACGGTCGAGTGCCACCACAACCTTAGCTGTGCAGGGCTAGACTTGCACAGCCGGTAGCCCCGGTTGGCCCCGCCTCCCACCAGGAGCCCACCCCCGGCTCCACCCACAGCCAGCTCCACTCCTGAGGTTTGCTAGCCGCGTGGGCGGTGCTTCAGTTTCCCCCGGGATGTCTAGGCGGACCCAGCGATTTTTTGAATTGGCGTGCACTTCATGGGGCTTTCGGTAAGGGAGCTCCCAGTTCCGGGGAGAAAGTCTGAAACCACATTCAGACCCTTCACGTATAATCTCCAGTCCTGTCTTAGTCCCCCGCCTCCTGCCAACCTGAACTCGGCGTTGCCGTCTCTAAGTGAAGATGAACCTGCAACCTCTCTAGAGGCTTTTAGGCGCAGAGGGGCGGGAGAGACGGCCTGGTTGCCAGGCGATCTCCGCTTTCACGCCTCGAAGGCCAAAAGCCCCTGGAGACAGAGGAAGGCGGACTCAAAGGGGAATTCCTGACGCCAACACCTGGTACAGCACTTTTACTTTTTCCCGCCCTCAGTACTGCTGCAAACCCGAAACCGGTTTCTAACTAAGGCTGGAGAATGGCAGAGGTGAAGCTGCGCTGTAGCAGGCTGGAACGCCCCACCACCGCCACTGGTGGGCGGGGCTGGAGGGGTGGATGAGGCAGGAGAGTTGCAGGGCAGAGGAGATGGAAAACTCAGTCCTGGATTGGTATGAAAAGGAGTTAGCTCACTCCCACAGGAGGGCCAACAAGTGCCAGGAAGTTGCCAGACATCCGGAGGCCTAGATCCTGGTGCATTGAGACCCCAGGACCAATCAGGTTGGCGCTTCGTGTTTCCACTCATCCCTATTTGGGTATGTTTCCAAAGAACCCTGGGGTTCTCTTTCCTAACTAGGATCATCCCTCTGCTGAATCTCTAGACCTGCATAATCCCAATTGACCTTAATGCCCTCCACCCCAAATCAAATTAACTATACGTATATTTATCAAAACTCATCAAATTATACACTAAAAATGTGTACATTTTAATGTATGTAAATTATAACCTAATAAAATCGATTTTAAAAATCAGTGTAATAAACCTCCAACTCCAACAATAAAAACATTTACTGGTCGATCTCAGGGCTCTCTACTTCTCTGGGCTGCAGTTTGCTAATGTTGATAAACAGTTGTGGCAATGGATAAAGCTGGTCTCCTGAGGTTCCTTTTCTTCTCAGATGATAGCTGTGGCCTTTTGTTAGATTTTTCTGGATTTGAAATCAAAGGAGAGACTAGAATGGTGAAATTTTCCAGAGAGGAGGGCAGGAGCAGTGCTAGAAGAAGCAACTGGGGAAGATATTGGGAGAAGGGAGGAAGGGCTCTAACATTTGTTGGGTGTCCATTGTATGTCAGGATCTCTGCATGTTATTTAATCCCTACAATAACTTTTTATGACAGGTATTATTATCTATATTTTTTTGAGCATTTACTCTATACCAGACACTGTACAAGATCCTTGGGCTACATCAATAAACAGATTCTTGCTTTGGGAGAGCTTACATTTTAGAGGGGAAGGAGCCACTATAAACACACCTAAGAAATAAACATAAAAATATAGTGTATGGGGGGGGTGGAGGGAGGTTGAAGAGGGTAAAATACATGGTGACGGAAGGCGACTAGACTTTAGGTGGTGAGCACACCATGCAAATACAAAAGATGTGTTATAGATCTTGTCTGTTCCCCTTTCCCAATTCCCCAATAAAATATTTTTAAAATAAATAAATAAAATGCACCATTACTACACCACAATCATTTTAACATTTTGATAATTGTATTTGAATATAATTGTTTTCCTTTATGATCCCCTGTATTTAAAAAAAATTTTTTTTAAGATTTTAGTGGGGAATTGGGGGAGGGGAACAGTGTTGGGGAATCAGAGAAGGGGAACAGACAAGTTGCTGTCTTTTTGCTCTTCAGTCTAGTTGTGGAGGACGTCACTTCACTGGCCCATGTTGGTATTATCATTGCGCTTTTCCCAGCTGAGGCAGATTGGTCACCGGCCAATGGATGGCAGTGAGTGGCCCATGGAAGTTCACAACAACTGACGCTGGCTACCTGTCCCTCACGGTAGCTCACGGCAGCCCACTGCAGCCTACGCCGCCACCGGCGACTCATGGCAGCCCAGCTCCAGGTCGAGCTGTTGTTCACCATCTTATCTGTAGAGGGCACAGCATCACTGGCCCTCATGTGGGATCTGAACCGGGGCCCTGCTGCTCAGAGCTTGCGTTCCCAAGCCAAGTCTTAACCAATGTGCCACTCGGCTGGCCTGAATTTTTTAAGTTTTTAATTGTGATAAAATACACAACAAAATTTACCATCTTCACCATTTTTAAGTGTACAATTCAGTAGTGTTATGGATATTCACACTGTCATGCAGCCAATCTCCAGAGCTCTTCTCATCTTGTAAAACTGAAACTCCGTACCCGTTAAAACAACAAGTCCCCATTTCCACTCCTCCCAGCCCTGGCAACCACCCTTCTCCATTCTGTTTCTATGAATTTGACTACTCTCAATACCTCATAAGTGGAACCATACAGTATTTGTCCTGTTGTGACTGGCTTATTTCACTTAGCATAATGTCCTCATCGCCACATGCTTTGGACCTAGGAATCCTGTCCATTGGATATGGGATGTTTCTCTCCTTCTGACCAGAGTCTGCTAGGCCTGCAGCCCTGTGGCTCTGGTGTGTCATTTTGCACTGACGGAGCTCACTTTACTGGGAGCTACATGTTCTCCCAGGGCCCTGATGTTGCTGTATTGAAGGTACATTTTAACAGATGGTCCCAGCACAAGAACTTGAAACCCTGTCTTGAGTCTAGCAGGAGTAGGGTCATACATATTTTCCAGCAAGATAGCCCAGACACTGCTATGTATTAGCTCCTTGCCTCTGAATTTCTATCCAAAGAGCTGAGGGAGAACTAGAAAGGGAACACTTGAAGAGAACAGATAAATAGATTGCCACAGGAGAGATGGTTGACAGGACTGTGTAGTAGTTGAGGATTTAAGCAGAGTGGGCTGCAGGTAGTAGGAAGTAGAGTGTTGAAATTGGGAAGGGGTTGGAGATTGTCAAGGAAACTCACATTATCCCTCTGGTGTCTCTCAGAGAGGCAAGGAGAGAAGATAGAATTGATGAATATCTGAATAATACAAATACAATTTGGCTGAACCAAGGGAGAAGCACAAGTATCTGGGAGGAGATGCTGCTCTGAGACCTTGGCTTTCTTGGCTCATGATCTGTTCACAAATGTAGGTAGGACAAGGAGGAAGTGCTTGGTGGAGGCCGTTCAAGAGCACCCGTGGTGAAGAATGAGATATCATCACTCAGGCCAGGAGAAGCCCAAGGTGAAGGGGGAAAGCGCCTTAGTCCCCCTCCTTAGGCATTTTTAAATCCATATTATAATAGTAACTGTTCAAGAGTGGAGACCTCAGTCAGCCCTGGGTCTCCCAGGACTTAGAACATGCTCCCAATGCAAAGCCACCTTTCCTAGAGGGATAACCCTGGCCACACTCTTTCTGCATTCTTCTCTTATCCTGGATATCCTTGTCTCTGGATCTGCTCTCTCTGGAGGTTCTTCTGTTTCTTTCTTTTCTTTTCTTTTCTTTCTTTCTTTCTTTCTTTCTTTCTTTCTTTCTTTCTTTCTTTCTTTCTTTCTTTCTTTCTTTCTTTCTTTCTTTCTTTCTTTCTTCCTTTCTTTCTTTCTTTCTTTCTTTCTTTCTTTCTTTCTTTCTTTCTTCCTTTCTTTCCTTCTTTCCTTCCTTCCTTTCCTTCTTTCTTTCCTTCCTTCTTTCCCTCTTTCTCTCTCTCTCTCTCTTTCTCTCTCTCTCTCTTTCTCTCTCTCTTTCTTTCTTTCTCTCTCTTTCTTTCTTTCTTTCTTTCTCTCTTTCTTTCTTTCTTAACACTTTTTTTTCCTTCTCAATCCAGACTTATTGCCCACTGGGAGTGTGGGGCAGAGGTGAGGAGGACAGTACATGGTGAGTTTCTAAGAGATCCATGCCTAGACCTCTTTCTCATTCTATTCTCTCCTCCTAAGCTATTTCATTCATTACCAGGATTGGGTTTTTAGCTGAGTATTTATTTATTTTTATGAAAGTTACACATGTACATACAAGCTCTATACAAAACTTAACAATGAAAAACAGTAACCCTTATCCCACTCTGCTTCAAGGAGATTGCAAGTCTCTTAGCTGTTTTTTCTGGCATTTATTGCTTTTTCTAAATATCATGCCATGTTTGGATTTTTAATTTCAGATATTAGCCACTGACTTCTATTTTTAAAATGAGGACTTAATGCTTTTGTCCTCTCCACAAATATGCATGTATTTTCACTCCATCCTCCTAATGTAGTAATGTTACTTTTGTTAGATCAATATTTAATATTTACATTTCATGTGTAAATGTTATTTACAAGATGACAGTGTACTATTTACATTTCCATTTTTGTATGTTTTCCCCCTGAAATTAATAATTATCTTTTTTAGTTTGTTTACTTAGTTATCTATGTACTTATTATCAATTAATTCTCATATTCTCTTCTGGAGAACTCTCAGTATATTCAAGTACAATTAGGTAATCAGTTTTATCTTTTCATTTTTCGTCTAATCTAAAATGGTTTCTCTCTAAGCCTGCTGCAAAGCTATCATCCTTGGATCCTTCAACAGCAGCCAGGGGATAACCTTCACTAATCTATGTTGTATACCCTTTTTCCTGTTTTTTTTTTTTTAAATGACTTTTGTTTGTTTGTTTACTCTCTCATTTTGGTGGTGGACATCTTCAATAACTTCCTGAAAGGGGTGCATGGTAAATAAGTTCTTTCAGACTGCCTACGTCTTTATTCTATTCTCACACTTAATTGATAGCTTGGCTGGGTGAAAAAGTCTAAGTTGACCCTGAAACTAATATAAAATAATAGTGAATGCCAACTATAATAAAAAAAAAGTAGTCATGGGGATATATAGTACAGCATAGGGAATATAGTCAATAATATTGTAATAACTATATACAATGTCAGATGGATAATAGCCTTATTGGGTTATTACTTTGTGAGGTATATAGATGTCTAATCAATGGTTGTTTTGTATACCGGAAACTAATAAAAAAATAAAAATAAATAAAATACAGCTGGCACTAAAAAAAAAAGAAATGCTAAATTTCAGTTCGAAGTCAGTGAAAATAAAGATTTTGCTTTATAATATAAAAAAAAGTCTAGGTTGTTAATTATTTTTCTTCAGCTATTTGATGACATCACTCCAGCAGTACTATGATTTCTTACCAGGACAGGCAGAATTGTTCAGACTGTCTTCATTCAGATTATACTGACATCTGTTTTGATTGATAGGTGCTTATGCTGTACACCCTGTTAGTTTGAATATCATCCTTGCGTAGAGCCTGTCCTTTTCCTTCAAAGCAATTATCACAATTTGCATATACATATGTAGGTATATATACACACACAGAAATACATATATATGTATTATGTATACATGAGAGAGAGCTATTTCTTCTCTACACTATATGTTTCATGAATATAGAGATATATATGCTTTGTTGGTCACTGTATGCCTAATGCCTAATACAATAGTTGGCACATAGTTGGTGCACAACACAATGAATATTTGTTGAAAGAATGAATTTTTTGAGCAACTCCCAGAAAAATTAGATTGGAGGTGTGGAAACTAGTCTAGGTTCTGATAGGATTGGAAATAGACTTTTGGGCATGGGGTCAGGGTGGGGTGAGCTGATAAGAGAGTGGTTACAGAGTTATTCCACTCCCCCACTTACCTGAGCTGCTGGAGTTGATAAGGAAGTGCCAAAGAAAATTTGCTTCCTCATCCTATACTATTTCATTCATCCCTGGCTGGCTTGGTTTTCCCCATGGGGCTGTTTCTGTGATCTGTCTACATGCAAGGGGACTCCATTGGGAACTTGGGGCTGGAAAGCCAGCTAGCCCAAATTCTTATGAATTGTGGTCAGACTGTTGCTGTTGTTCTGCAGGTGATGTCTGACCCTTCAAGTCCAATTTCCTCATCTTCTCACTTTATATCTGGGGTCCCTAAACACTGTCTCACCTCCTTCTCTGCTTCAGAGCCTGGGGTCTTCATTCTCTCTAATTTATTTCCTAACACTCAGCTCTGTGCTGAGTTTAAATGGAGGTATTTTCTCTCCCCTCTGGCCGTTGACTAGTGGCCTCAGTTCTTAACCATGTGGGCCTCTCCTCATGAAATGGCAGCCGGCTCCCCCAGAGCTAGTGATCCAAGAGAGAGAGGAACACAGAAGCCACAATATTTTTTTATGATTTAGCATCAGAAGTGACATATCATCACTTCTGCCATTATCTATTAGTCACACAGACCAACCCAGATTAAATGTGGGAGAGGACTACACATGGATGTGAATACCAGGAGGGAGGGATCATTAGGGGCCATCTCAGAGACTGGCTACCACAGATGGGTTAGAGGAATTTGGAGAAAGAAGAGGAAGCTTTAGGACTTGAAGAAGGGAAATGGAGAAGACTTAACCAAATGCCTATCATGGGCCTGGCCCTTCATATCAAGTTATCTAATATTAATCTTTTCCACAACACTAAGGGGTAGATATTATTCCCATTTTTCATATAAAGGAATATAAAGCATGGAGAAAATAAGTGTCCCAAATTAAACCCAGTAAGAAGCAGAGTCAGGGTTTGTATGTACATTGTTATGTGTGCTACTGATGTTGATCTACTACATTTAGTATTATGTACCAAAGGGTGGGATATGTGCTATGGTGGTATGAGAAGTAATTTTAATATAGGGACATGGCATTAAATAACATTGAAAGTATAAAAATTAAATGTTTTTCAAGCTTCTGATTATGTCAAGAGAAAGCATCAGTTTGGAAGCCTTATGACTTATTATTTCTCTAACACTTGTTAGTTTCTCTTTTTAAGAAAGAGAGGGCAGGCCTCAGGCTCAGTATCTTTGACAATTTTTTTTTGTTGTTAGAGTGTAATAACATATTTCATTTTTAATGTATTTATTTTTATAGTTACTTTCTGTTTGTGGGTGATACTGATTTTAAACTTACTAAAGGAATATGAAGTTTGAGTTATATCCTTTATTAGTATCAGTATACAAAAAAATTAAGTAATAGACAGTTCAAGTGATACTTGGGTATGGCAAAAATCATGAGGATGGTACTGATTGAGGATGGTACTTATTGCCTTCCCATCAGCTCTACGTTGAGGGGGGTGCCAGTTTGAAGTTCCAGCCTCAGCTGTGTGCTATGGGCGCGAGCTGGAGAGAATCACGTTACAATTCACAACCAGTTCTTTCCTATAATGTTTCCTAAGCATCTCTCCTTTAACCAATGAATTCCTCAGGGCTGTTGGGGAGTTTTGTAGACAGAAGATTAATGGAGCTAGGAATGAGAATGAGTTTAGTGGGAAACCTAAGCTTTAGACTATTCAACTAATATTAAAAACCATGTGGGGCTGGTGGATATAGACAGTACAGTGGGGAAACGTCCAGAAGAAGAAATGGACATAAATGGTATGCGTTATTTCTCAGTTTCTTACTCCCTGATCCAACTCCATAGTCTGTGATTTTGAGGGTCCTCAAATACTTCTAAGCCACTGCACTGGAACACTTCAAGTTTCTGTGGGGAAACGGGCAGAACCAAAGTTTTAAGACATACGGGACGTGGCTGCGAATTTCTATATTAGAAGAGTTTGGGATTGGGGAACAATGTGGTTGGAAGGGGTTTCTGAAGTTGCGTTTGTATCTACATGATTTTACATGGACTGTAAAGAACTCAAGCGTCCAATAGGTGGTGGGGATACCGAGTAACGGCGCCAAGTTTAGTCCCAGAGTCCTGATAACACAGAACCCGCTGAACCATGTTCTGAACCATTTCAGCCCCCATGGACCCTTCCTCGCCTTCAGTCCCGCAGTGTTACCTCTGGGCGAGTTTGTCAGTCCCAAGCCATCCATCCCCGCCTGAGGTCACTCTGTCAGGTCACATGCTCGAGCCCGCGGGAGTGCCACATAGCCAGCCGCGCCCCTCCACGCCCGCTCTGCCCACGTGACCCGGCCTACTTTCTCCCCGCCCGACCCTAGTCTTTTCTCGGGGAGCCCCGCCCCACCCAGAGCGCTACGCCTACCACCTCCGCCCCTCATCCGCCCAGGTTCCAGTGAGGCCCACGCCCCCACGTGTTTCTTCCTGTCCAATGGGAGCCGGTGTCATGGCGCGAATGGGCGGGGAGGAAAGGACGACTTCATTACGCTGCGAGAAAGGGGCGGGGCCTGTAACGTCGGACTGTACGAGGGGACGCAACGGAGGCAGGCCGGAGCCGCTGCCGTCGCCATGACCCGTGAGCACTGAGACCCTCTCTTCTTGCCCGTTTTCTCCGGTCCACTGCAAACACGACTGCCGAATCCCGGCATTGGCCTGCTCTTGGCTTCCACAGCGAGGCTTTTTTCTGGGAGCGCTCTTTAGCAACCCTCACACTCGTAGCCCGGAAATCGGCCCTTTACCCACCGCCACTTTTTAAGAAACACGCCTCCCCCCACATCCCCAACCCACCGATCAGGCAAAGGCCCTCCCCGACCTTCTGCGGTGTGTGGAGAAGTCCTGCGTCCCGGAGATAGGCCCAGGGCCCCTTACTCCAGATCTCAGCCCATCCCCCACAGAGACCCACATCGTTCACACACACCACCACTACCTGTCTGGGCTCCCACGCCGCCTCGAAACACGCCTCTAGCAGGCTCCTCGGGGCCGTGTTCCCTCCGCCCCTCAATTTGACCTGCCCCGTGGCAGGCAGCTCGGCCCCCTCCACCCCCTCAATTAGCAGCCTAGGCTCCGAAATGGGCCGGGGTTGGGGCTCGGGGAATGAAATATTGGATTCTACTCGTGTCCGATTGAGGGAAGAGGGTCGCCGGTGTGTGGCCAGAAAGGCCCCCGCGTCTCACCTTTTACCTTCTTTCTTTAGGCGGTAACCAGCGCGAGCTCGCCCGCCAGAAGAATATGAAAAAGCAGAGCGACTCGGTTAAGGGAAAGCGCCGAGATGACGGGCTTTCTGCTGCCGCCCGCAAGCAGAGGTAGCCCCTGGGAGGGGAGGGGAAGGGTGGGGTGAGACTTGGGTTAGGCCAAGGGTTGTACCAGAAAAGAGAGCTGCCTCAGGGCTTAACAGCTGTACTAGTCGTGAGGGGCAGAGTGCATTGCTTCCTCTAGGGTTTTATTTCCTCCCCACACTCCAAATTGTTAGCTCACTGCCTTACAGGAAGGGACTGGGGCGGGTGCCTGCCCGTGGTGTGATTTCTCAGTGCCCCTGGGTCTGACCTTAAGGGCAAGGGCAGGGAGCATCACATTTCAAATGCATTAGTGGTTATGACAGCCCTGTGCTTTTGGCCCTCCTTGCCGTTCGTTTCTCCTCCTTTCTCCCAACCTTCTCACTGGTGCTGCTGGGTGTGGTACCCAGCACAGAATAGCCTTTGTGTGTGTGTGTGGCCAGACTTCTGACCCCTTGGGCAACAGCCAGATATAGACTGATTGCCTTTTTTGATCCTCAGCTCTCCTCCTCTTATTCACCTAGGGTGGGAATACAGTAGCCACACGCTGAATTTTGTCCCATCCACTTCCATCTTATCCTTTGTGCCCTTCATCCCCCTGCATCTTGTCCTTTTTGCCCTCTGGTACCTCCCAGTGCCCCATCATCTCTACCCCCAGGGACTCGGAGATCATGCAGCAGAAGCAGAAAAAGGCAAACGAGAAGAAGGAGGAACCCAAGTAGCTTTGTGGCTTCGTGTCCAACCCTCTTGCCCTTCGCCTGTGTGCCTGGAGCCAGTCCCACCACGCTCGCGTTTCCTCCTGTAGTGCTCACAGGTCCCAGCACCGATGGCATTCCCTTTGCCCTGAGTCTGCAGCGGGTCCCTTTTGTGCTTCCTTCCCTTCAGGTAGCCCCTCTCCCCCTGGGCCACTCCTGGGGGTGAGAGGGTTACCCCTTCCCAGTGTTTTTTATTCCTGTGGGGCTCACCCCAAAGTATTAAAATTAGCTTTGTAATTCCTTGAGCGCCTGGTTTGACTGGGGATCTGGGGGGATGGGGATGGAGGAATGGCTGCCCTTTCCCACAAAAAGGGGAGAGAACTTTAGACTCCAAAAGGTTGTGGATATGTAGACTAAGTGAAACATCACAGAAAAATCCTTTATTATACTACAACAAACAGACAAGTACTCCAGGTATGTGGTAGAGGAATCCTCTAAAAACCACTTCTTTTCTGTGATTTTTGCCCCCCACCCAGACCTTAAACACCATCCAAGGGATGGAGTTGAGGGCCTACTGAAGGCTCCAAGACCTAAGTTTATGTCCCTCTTCCTTATTCTTCCTCAGTTTGTTTGCCCCAAAATCCTGCTGCTCACAGACTTCCCACGGTTAGCTGCTTTCAAGTATTCACATTCTCTTCTGTCATTCCTCATGCAGTGAGGATTTTTGTCTTCCCCACTTCCTTTGACCTCAAGATTAGGATTAAAACCTAGGGTAGTCTCTGTGCTCTTTTCTTCCTGTGTCCTGGTTTGCTCTGGGGTTCTGGGCTTCTTATATTCCTGTGCCCAGGGCTGAATTGCTTATGTTTCTTTTTATCTCCCAGGGCAGAGCCAATTTAAGTCTTCAGTCCCTGTGGGTCTTTCCCTGCCCCATCTCTACCACGAGAGCCAGGAAAGGGCTGGTGCCACACTGTCTGCTGGAATCAGCAGTGGTTCCTGACTTGGGAGTTAGCTTTTGAATTGGGGTGAAGATGTAATGGTAGCTCTAGCAAGTCAGATACTTGTCCCGAACATTAACGTATATATGGTCACTTTTTCCAATTCAGACATAGTGTTGACTTCAGTCTAAAAGGAGGTAACTGCCCATTGTGTTCTTAAGGTATTTGCTGGGCTGGACAGCTCCCCTGAATCAAGACTAGGGGTACAACCTCAAGGGAACCTCAGTTTGTTAAAAGTACCTCTATTGGATACTTGTTACCTGGCAATACTGATGCGATGGCAATGTTGCCTGAAGATAGGAGGAGGCTTGGGGTCCTGCGTGGGGGACCAACAGAGTGGTGCTAATAGCAGCCCCAGATAGAGCAGTACACAGGCCCAGCATGAGGCAACCTTGACCCAGAAGGTAGCCCAGCTACCCTTGGTGAAGGTCTTTTCCAATTCTGCTCCCTCATAGCTGTGAAAGCAAAGTCTGTGGTTAGAGAATATGCAGGGCCTTAGTATTTAGACCTGTCCTGCCTTCCCATCAAAGATTATGGTGGATCCATGTGTGTCTCCTGAGAACCCTTGGGACTGGCCTTGAATTGTTCTTTCCTTAAAATAGCTAGGTTTTCAGGAGAGTATCCCAGGCCTACATCCATCCTACCTGAACCAGTTGGTTAGGGTAACCATGACATAGAGTGATGCAAGGAAGAAGACGAAATGGAAGGCAGAATAGCTGTAGGAAAGTTGCTGGGCTTGCACTGGAGGAGCTGGAGAGGTCTCTTGGTCAGCTGGCTTGGCATTTCCTCCCCTTTGCCCTGAAGAGAGGGAGGGGCTGCTGGGCACAGTTCAGCTGAAATACCTCTTCACTCTTCCCTCCTCCCCCAGCTGCTGTTGTGAAGGCGCTTAAGGGCTCATTGGTACTGCAGAAATCTACACTTTCTATTGATCCTCACTTGACACTCACCTTCCTCTGGCTCCACTGTTTCAGGGCAACAGAAACAGAGTGACGGCTTCTGTAAAACAAAAGGCAGCATATTTTGGAATGACTGAAAGAACGAGAGGGTATTAACATAGGAAACTCCCCTTTTGAAAAGATTACTCTGGTGTAAGAAGTGGAGGCACACCTGGGTTCAAATGCAAACTCCAGCATATAACTGGCTATGGGAACTTTGGTAAGATGTTTAATCTTCTGTGCCTCAATTTCTCCATTTGTAAAATGGAGCAAGTACCTACCTCACAGGGTTGTTGTGAGGGTTACATTAAATGAGATGATGTATGTAAAGTATCTAGCACAGTGCCTAGCACATTGTGGGTACTCAATAAAAGGTGATAGCAGCTAGAATCTGAGCTTTCTGGGTAGAGGTTGGTAGGGTGCATGCGTGCGTGCGTGTGTGCGTGTGCGTGTGTGTGTGTGTGGGGGGAGGGAGGGGCATTGGGGATATTGAGCTCTGCATTCTCACCTGTAACTCATAGCTGTAAACCTTGACGATCCACAAGGGCCCAAATACCTCAGCCAGGTAGGAAGCCTCATTGCTAAGAAAGAAGAATACAGTTCTCAAGCAGGTCCAGTTAAATAACAGGAGGGATTGTCTGAGAGCACTTACTGTCAACTGGTCCATACTGGTAAATCAGGAGGGTGATGTGCTCCTAGAGCCCCTTTCCCCCAAAGATTTAGAAATCTTTTCCTGTGAGGGCCCTAAAATCTTTGCATATACGAGGTCTGACAGTTAAGTTCACAAACTTGTTGCAGTGATGTTATTAACCTTTTTTGATATGGGAAGGATTATTCATTATGAATTTGCACCAACTGGACAAACAATTAACCAAGTTTACTATTTGGAAGTGCTGAAAAGGCTGTGTGAAAAAGTTAAACGACCTGAACTTTTCACTAACAATTTATGGCTCTTGCATCACGACAATGCACCAGCTCACACGGCACTGTCTGTGAGGGACTTTTTAGCCAGAAATCACATAACTGTATTGGAACACCCTCCCTACTCACCTGATCTGGCCCCCAATGACTTCTTTACCCGAAGATAAACGAAATATTGAAAGGAAGACATTTTGATGACATTCAGGACATCAAAGGTAATGCGATGACAGCTCTGATGGCCATTCCAGAAAAAGAATTCCAAAATTGCTTTGAAGGGTGGACTAGGCACTGGCATCGATGCATAGCTTCCCAAGGGAAGTACTTCGAAGGTGACCGTAGTCATATTTAGCAGTGAGGTATGTAGCACTCTTTCTAGGATGAGTTCGTGAACTTAATTGTCCAACCTTCATTTTTTTTTAATTCTCAAGTCATTACCCCTACTCCCTTCATCTTATACAGATCATCTGACAAATGCTATTCTTAGAAATTGTTTCTGTTCATGGGGAGCATTCCTCTTGTCTTGCTCTAAAGTTTAAATAAACATGGTCCCAGACAATTTGACCAGCCCTCTGTCCTTCTGGGCATCCTCCCTTGTACTCCTCTCCCCCTGACACTTTTACGCACCAAGCAAAAAGCACACAAGCATACATGATGCCAGCACTCAGCACTGCCAGAGAAGTATCTGGTGTTTGGGGTTCCATTGTACTCAGGCCAGGCAGGCACAGAGTGTGATTCTGTCCTTGAAGGATTACTGAGAAGGGGCAAAAGAAGAGAAATGTAAGAACAAAGCTATTTGGCAAGAGCAAAAAAGTATTTGCGTGGGGAATTAATGTCCTGTCCTTACCACTCTCTGGAGGACGGCTGGACAGTGCAGAGAAGGTCAGATACATGATATAACAGCTGATGATAGAGGCTTGTAGAAGGCCAGAGCGGGGTTGCTCTGGGGAGAATGGGGATCATTGCTTTAGTCAACAGGGTGGTTTCCTCCACTCCTACCCCTACCCACACTTCTGCCTCCCCACCCTTTTGGGGGAAGCAGAGAATTGACTGAGATTAGGGAGACTAAGGAAATTTGCTATACTAAAGGTCCCCCAAATCTGGAATGTTGGCAAGGCATGTACCCACTGAAGCGGATGCAAGGAGCGATGGAAAGGAAGGAGAGGAAGCCACAGAAACAAAGGTGCAGACTAAGCAGCATCTTGTTGAGCAGGCAGCCAGCTGGGTGTGTGTAGTGGCGGAACAGGAGCACCACTGCCACAGTTGCCATGCTGTAGAATCCTAGGGTGGCCAGCAGCATGGCTAGGAACCAGCGGCAGTCTTGCGCTGCACCTGTCTGCCTAAGGATGGGAGGTGGGCAATGGCTTGGGGTTCCAACTCTTTCTTTTTACCCATTACCAACTACTACTACCTCCCTCAGAATACTGGTGTGACTACCCATCTTACCTGGCCCACAGAGTCATCACGTTCCTGAGCTTGTTGATAACTGCTCAGTGGAAAGCTATGGGACCATTGACCTGTCATGTCCTTTGCCCAACCCCACTGGGTCTAATAACGTCAGACAACCTTCCCAAGAAGAGCCTTTAGGGTTATGTGCTCCTTACCAGTTTTTATTCCAGGAGTGGGCAAAGGCTGTGATAAGCACCAACTGCAACAGGATGAAGGTGAAGCCTCCACAGATGCCAATGTAATGCCAGGCTGCAAGTGGGGCACCAGTGGGATAATGTAGCTAATGATATTACTCCTGGTTCTCTTCCCACCCTCTTTTTCTTAGAAAATCTTTTAGTCTACTCCTGTTGATCAGGATGTGAGATGGAAGGTACCTGGGAAGAGATGCTCATCAGGGATGCAGAAGGCAGCAGCACAGAGACCTAGTAGGAACAGCAGCTTGAGGAGCCAGAAGCTGGTTGGGAGGGAAAGAAAATCAGGCTCAGAAGAAAAAGCAAAGAGCGAACAGTGCCTATGGAGGAAGACAAAGGAGAAAGCAAAACTGTAGGAAAGGGGAGAGAAAACACAACTAAGTAGAGGAAAGGAAGAACAGTCCCTTGCGAGAAGGGCTGGAAACAGGCCCTTCATAGCCTATTCCAAATTCTAATTCTTAGATACCTAAATAACATCTAGACAGTGTTTTACTGTTGACAAAGGTTTTGCATATAATAACCCCACTGTCATTTCCATTTTAGAAACTAGAAGTTTAAAGAGCATAAATGTGTGGCTCATGGTCACCCAGCAAGTACATCAGAAGCAGGGACTTAAACCTGTTTTCTGTCTTTTTATAGTGCTATTACTTCATCTTAGAATTTACTAAGCTTAGGTCTATTTCCCTTTTCATCCTCTCCCCACCCAAAGAGTACACACAAACCTATTATGCAGCTGTGCCCGCAGGCTAGTAGGGGAGTGGAGGTGGACCAGCAGCACAGCCTGCAGCAGGTGGAAGGTGGCGGTTCCTGCACAGACTCGGTACACAGCCCCAGAGCCACTGAGCACTGGGCAGTGAGAGTGGCCAAACAGATGGGCACACAATCCCGAGGGCATCTGGATCTGGAGAAAGGGCAAGTCATCATGCATAAAGAGGTACCTACTTTTCACAGGTCCCTGGCCCCCAATCTGAATCTCTTGTCAGTGCAACCCGACAACCCCCGCACTCCCCAACACACACACACACACACACACACACACACACACACACACACACACACACACACACACACACACACTTACACCATGTGCCTTGCCCCAGACCCGCTCCACTACTGTCCTTGACAGCAGGAGGCAGCAGACTGCTGAGGCCCCTATGTGGAGGAAGATGTAGAACAGGCGGCTGCAAGTGGACTCTGTGAGAGGAGGCCACCTACAATGGCAGCAGCAGGTACAGGGATCAGGCCCACAGCAAGACACCTGGGGGTAGAGCAGATGCAGGGCAGCAGAGGGGAGGTTTGCTGAGATTAATGCATGTGTGAGGTTAACCCATGAGGCTGAATTCCAGTATTTCCCCTTCCCTTCTCTCCCTTTACTCTGAAAGTCTCAGAATGTTTGGTTCCAAGCTATTTAGGATTGCCTTCCACTGACATCAAGTAGAGCTTTCACCATTAAGAGCTTACCAGCAGGCTTGAGTAGACCTTCCTAAAAGCCTAAATCATACCTGGCCTCGAATCTTTCCCTAGACCTAAACATCTGGTACTGGCAATATGGGAGGAGAGATTTAATGATAAGCAAGCAGCCTTAAAGGCAAAGAAGCAGTGGGCCTCGGAGAAGGAAAGCCTATCATTTTTATTGGCTCCCGTGGGTTTTCCTCTCCAGCTTCGGCCACCATTCCCTTCCACTTTTTCAGATAGCTCTTGCGCTAGGGAGCTTTGAAGCCCCTGCCCAAGTATCTTCTCACCTGATAGACGGGAGGATTCACTGTGACACTGCTGACTCCACTGCGTTGCTGTGCCAGGTGGAGGGAGCTGCTGGGGCCTGCGATGGCCTTTGCACCCACCATCCTTGTCCCAGGTCCACCAGATGGAAGGTAGATTAGAAAGTAGCTCTCTTCTCCTTAGCCTACTGGACTGCTGCTGTTGTGGGGCTGGTCACCCAATCTAAGGAAGGGTGAAGTGGGACATCAGGAAAACACCCACCTCCAGGATGTGGTAAATGCAAATTCCCCTGTGAAACTACTTTCTCCCTAGGGCCCTTGGTCCACTCAAGCTGTTCTCCCCAGATTAGGCAGCAGTTTGCAAATGTGGCCTCCTGTGGATTAGCATTCTTAATTGGTTTAGGATTAGACATAGTCCATCCTGGTTGAACAGAATTCCTTGGGAGAGTGTGTGTGAGGAGGTGCTGGTGGGAGGGATCTAGGTAAAGAGGGGGTAAGGATGTCAGTTGGGAAAGTCTGGAGCGGTGACAGGATAGGTCTGGGTGAGCGCTTTGAAGAAAAGAACACTGTGCGAGCCCCAAAGGAAGTCTGACAGGCAAGCCGCCTTCTTCACTGAACCTTCTAGAACCGGAGCATTAATGAAGGCGTGGCCCAGAGCCAGCCCCACCTCTTTTCCAGACGGATGTTGCGGGGCATTACCGGAAGTCGTCGTGAGGCGGGGTGGGGCCTTACGGCGGCGCGGTGGAATCAACATGGCGACCGAGGGGGATGTAGAGCTAGAATTGGAGACTGAGACCAGCGGTCCGGAGCGGCCTCCCGAGAAGCCACGGAAGCATGACAGTGGTGCGGCGGACTTGGAGAGGGTCACCGACTATGCGGAGGAGAAGGAGATCCAAAGTTCCAATCTGGAGACGGTAAGTTAGCCGGGAGTGTGGCTGGTGGGGCTGAGAGCAGAGGCGTCTCCGAGGCTGTAACTGGAAGCCCCGCTCCAGGATGGGGTCCCGATCCCGATGCCGGGAGAAAGCAAGAGGGAAACCGAATCATCATTAGAACCCGCGGCTTGCGAAAAGGCGCTTGCTGGAGATTGGGTTTAAAGTGGGCCTCAGGAGCCTAGCATTGAATTAAACTGGTTCCTGATACACTCGTCATCGTGAATACACCCCTGACCCACTTGTTAATGGCTTTTTAGATTATTGGGAATTGTGGGTAGCAGAGTAGTAACTATTAATATATCTCTTTCCCATAGGCCATGTCCGTGATTGGAGACAGACGTTCCAGGGAGCAGAAAGCCAAACAGGAACGGTAAGTCCTCTGCACGCAGCCAGCCCTAAGAGGCCCTTTCTTTCCCCCAGACATAAATAAAAACCATCGTTAAGCCTTTGTACCTTGTGCCGTTTTTCAACTCTTATCACCAATATTCGCACATCTACGGTTTACAACTTTGCTCTTGTTGGTGAAGGAAAGGCCTCCAGGTAACCACTACTGCCTGCTGTAAAGACTCCAGGAGAAAGGATGGGAATGTTAGGTGAGAGGGTGGGAGTCATTTTGTGTTCTCAACAGCGTTTACTAAGTTATTCTTAAGGCACAACTGGGAATGATCCTTCCTGGGAGTTTATGGAGGTAGAGAATGAGGACTAATGTACATGAATATTTGTAGGGAGAAGGAACTGGCAAAAGTCACCATCAAGAAGGAAGATCTGGAGCTGATAGTGAGTAATGATGCATAACTAGTGTATGGGCCGGGGAGGTTACTTTGCTTAATTTGGTTTGTTTTTCTGAAACAAGTAGAATCACCGTGTTTTGCTAGTACATTAATGCCAGGGAGAAGGCTTAGGTAACACCATTGATCCTTTTCCTGCAGATGACAGAGATGGAGATCTCAAGAGCAGCTGCAGAGCGGAGCTTGAGGGAACACATGGGCAACGTGGTAGAGGCTCTTATTGCCCTAACCAACTGATTTGTGCATTCTCAGATCTACCCACTGGATTAACTTATTCCAATAAAGATGGCTTTTTTGTTGTTGATGCAGTTGTATCATCTTGGATCAAGGGCAGTGTATACTGTATTGTATTTTATTGTGGGAAATTTACATGTTTGAGTATAACTGAATTTAAGTGACACCCCCAACCCCCCACACCCAGCCTTTAATGAACCTATGTGAAGGATCAGTGTAGAAGAGTATCTTATGTTCAGATGTAGATGCTAAGTGGCAGGCCAAGTTCATTTATCAGACTAGCTCTCATGCAACAGTATCCAAAGTATATTTGGAGTTTCAGCCAAGTTACGGTACTCCATAGCATATGCCTCTAGGGTAGCTTTTAAATTGCTGAAAGGCCAGTACCTGCCTAGGAGCCACTATACAGATGTAAGTCACCAATCCAGTTTCATATGCCACTTTGAGTTAGAATTTAGGTAGCTGAGGTGGGAACATGGTAAGAAAAATAGAAGATACTAAAGTTTAGGTCTTCTATAGAATTAATTTGTAAGGTTTTGATTTAGGAAATTGATTTTAATATTTGAATTCTGAACCACAACATTGATACCTTACATTTCATTTTCCGTCCTGGAGAGAAGATTAATTTTACTTTAAAAGTTGATCAAAATTGGCCAAGTTACCCTTGCTGAGCTTCAGTTTCCTGAACTGTAAAATGATACATATTTGATAGGTTGTTTTAAGAATTGATGAGCTGGTGAATGTTAAAAGTTTGGCCTAGTATCTACCTCAGAGCAGACACTCAAATAGCAGCTGTAAACACCTTCCCCAAAGAATTTCAAGCTCTTACTTTCATTTTGGCTCTAGGATGATTCTTAGATTGTATCCCCCTCTGGCACACATAAGGACTTATATTCATCTTTATGTTTATTATCTCATAGTAATTCCACTTGTATTTTTAGTCTAGGACTTTTAAGGATTTATGAGTGGGGCATTTAAAGGATGTAAAAAAAATCCCTTGGCCTTCTCATTTTTTCATGCAGTTGAGAAGTAGTCTTCCTGCTGATTTTCATTTCTTATAACCCCCAGGACTCCTCGTGCTCTGCCTTGTGCACAGTGGTTATGTAGTAAATATTAAATGGAAAAATCATGAATTTAACTCAAGCATGGTATCACTACATTGCAACTCAAGAGAACACTGCCTTCCTTCATAAATGAGCTGGGCAAAGATACTGGTAGGTTCCTGCAAGTTCCCATTTCATGGGCCAACTTTTGTTTTATATACAGCTACAGTTTAGAAAGCAAGGACAACCACATAGGTGTTTGCTCATGGAATAAATCTGAGTGTCATAAGAATATAGTTTGTCTAGTGTCTGAGTTTGTTTCTGAGATTAAAGGGGACGATCAAAATGTGAAACATGGTTTGCTGGTCGGTTCTCTGCTGGTTTTTAGTTAATAGGTCAATACTTGTCAGCCTGCACATTTGAGTTCCAGTATCAAGCTAAAAAGTCTGTTGGTGTGTGATTCTTTTATTTCTTGACATATACATAAATGGATCAAAAAGTATGTTCACGTAGAAAAACTTGACTCCAGTCAAAAATGCGACATAGATTTCAATGAGCTTAGATTTTCCATAAGGTAGAAGTAAACTGTCCACTTACATGCTCATATTTCTGACCCAAACTTAAGGGGCTGGAAAAAGAAACCTGGGACAGTCTTCCAAGTGAATTTGGGAAGCCAGAGCAATGATGAAACCTAAGATATCTCAGAAATAGTTTTAAATGGGAAGCCTCTACTCCTACCTGGATAGTGCTTTTCTGTGGGTTTCTCAGTGTAAGTCCAAACCTCACAAAGCACCTTCAAAAACTGTTGCCCAGTGTCACAAGTATGCAGTAGGTCCAATAGGCTGGATACAGGGGCCATGTAAATAATGGTAAAAGCAAATCAAGGACCAGATGCTGAGATTTCTCCTTGTGTCCCACAGCTGGAAGAAAACGTTGAACTTGAAGTAGTTTTCCACTTTAAGTAGTTTTCCGCTTCTTGGCAGATGGCCTTTCAAATACATCTCGTACCCCGGCTGCCTTTTGTTTAAAGAATTTTGTGTTTTGAGCACTCTCTTGGCCCCATGCTGAGTCAAAGGAGGTGGTGTCTTGATCCACAAGATGGGTGTATTTGGTACGACCAGAGCGCCCAAAGTTCTTGACCTGAGGGAAGGATAGATGAGTTATACTACCAAACGTATTATCTACCAGCCCCCAATTCATTACTCTTTCTCGGTAAGGTCCCCCATACCTGCATGACTTTGGGAAGAATGGTTTTGTTGAAATGATCCTCCAGGGTTGGTGCGCTGAAATCTCTCTTGTATACTTCTTCATCCTCATCCTGTAGAAAGAGGCTTATCAACATTATAGTTCTATTTCCCACATATTCAAACCACGAATTTATTACACTAAGACAAGGGATAAAGCAGAGGGTACTGAACCTTTTCTTAAAAAGCTTACAAGTACATCTCGTTGAGATCCTCATTTTTTCCTTTGTGTTGTCTTTTGTCTTCCTAAGTGTAGACATTTCCTGAAGGTTGGCTATATTCTGTTTGCATGCATTATGTTCATTCACTCATCTGACTTCAACTGTCACAGGCCTTTCAAGTCTGATCCTGAATTTACTGCCCATTATATATCTTAGTTTGGATATTCTGTTGGGATTTCAAACTCACATAAAGTGAAAATCATTTCCCCATATCAACCTATTCCCATTAACTTTTTCTGTTAATAGGACCAACATTCTCTCAGTTACCTAATTCAAAATTTGAGTAATTGTGCACATTCAGTTGTTCTATAAATTCTCATCACCTGGGTTATTATAGTTTTTCCCTGCAGTCAATCTTACACATTACCAGTGGGTTAATATTTCTAAAATACAACTCTTGTATCTCTACGTTGTTCAAAGACTTATTTTTAGTGGTTTTCTATTAAGCGTAACTAGCAGTTAAGGCCAAATACTATACAGCCTTCATCTATCTCTCCTTGCCACTTCCCTTTATAGGTATTTTCTGCCTCCACCCCTGGTCCCTTCATCTAGAATGTCGGCCTACCACTGAATGTCAGAAAGTCTATACATTAAATGTCACCTCCTTTATATCCTTTTCAATCAACAAAATACAGTATCTCCCCCTTCATAAGTGCCACAGTACTTTTCACTTTCCTGATGTTATAGTATATATTTGCCTTAGCTCCATTTTCAGATTGTAAGCCTTCTGAGAGTAAGGATTTTATATCATCTAGCAGTGCTAAACAGTAGTGCCCTTTACACATTCAAAGCTTAGAAGGTTATTTACTTAAGTATGTAAAATAACTATAGGGAATAGTTTCAAATCAACCTATTAGACTAACGATAAGATACAGATTATAAACGTACCCTGAAGCAATTAAAAAGAGTACTATCTTAGTTAAGGAAAGCTTCATGGAAGAGCTGAGTCCTTTAACCAAACACACTTTTGGAGTATTCTTTTCCCTTCAGCTATAAAAAGGCCCAGTTTAAAGTAGGAAAATTAAACAGTTTTTGTGAGATCTAACTTTTCTTCTGTTAGAACCTGAGTCCCTCACTTAATCTCAAGCTAGTTCAACTTCACTCTTGTCCAGATGAGAGGACTTGATATTTGATGATGTGCTCAAAAGACTTTCACATAAACCTTATGTATCTTAGCCAGCCAGCAATGCATTGCTTCTTTAAGAAGCCTGATTATAGAAGCTGCTGAAATGCTTAAGCAATGATACTTAATGACTTTGAAGCGCTATAAGAAGTAATCCATAATCTCCACCAATTCCAATCTAGAAAACGACATGGACTGGGAAGCTACATAAATAAGCAAATAGGCTGCAAATGATTTTGGAAAGGAGTAAGGAACCCTCCATTGAATTTTTAAAAAAAATTTTACTGGTATCTGCAGTGTAAGGCAGGAATTTAGCTGCAGTGGGGATACTTAGGGTTTGATAATACATTTGGAAAAACTTGTTTAGGTTTTGATACAAACTCCTTTAGCACTAGGAAATTATTTAACAAATCACATGGTATTAAGAGTTAATAAATGCAATCAATGCTCCCATTTCCTTTCCTGCTGTCTCTAGTAAGGAGTTATCACTGGTGCTAATCCAAATAATTGGATAAATCCTCATCATTTTATATAGGATTAACAGACTATTTTTGACTTCCGGTCTTTATATGAAAAATAAGATGGCATTATACATAATGGTTAGATAGTTAACCATTATTTGGTTAGTCTTAGTCAGTTTCTGTCAGCTCAGAATGAAGTGAATTAAACTACCACCCAAATATGAGTTCATGCGAAACTATTGCAGAGCTGTTTTCGCACAACTAAAATTTCTCACTCAGCTGTGAAGTGACTTTAAATAGTCTAGCATCTATATAGATCACTATTTCAGTTCCTCAATTCTTCTATTACATCATTTCCTCCTACTGGGAGCTGGGGCCAAAAAAGAAAAGTTGTTGCTACTACTAAAATCCTGTTGCCAATACTTTGTTGGGTTTATATTTTTCAGCGGCAAAAAGCAAATGAGAAAGTTGATCACTGGCAAGTGGAAGTACCATCCCAGAACCAGTTTATTCTTGGGGGGGAAAAAAGAATTCAAAGTGTCTGAACTATTCCTACTGCCCAACTTTGCCTTTCCCTTTTCACTTCTTACCATGAAGAAGGCACCCCGGTGGTAGTACTTCTGTAAGAACTTGTATTTGCCCTTAACAGCTTTGTTGGTAATGACTTTGCCATTTGCCCGAAGCTCAGCTCGCCGCTCTTCCTCAGTCAGATTTCGCATGCGCTCAATTTCTGCTTTCTCCTTCTCAAGCCTGTCCAAAGAACAAAACTATTAGTATCATTGCAGCTTCAGAAAGACCCAGTTATCAGAATATAACACAGTCTCATCTCCTTTCAAGCATTATTCACTTTTTAAAAATTCTAGTCATTGCCTGTTAAGACTCAAGATCAGGAGCTCAATAAATAAAAAGGTAAGGTGCTCTTCACTATGCTTTCAACACTAGATATTGCTAATTTCCAAAACTTGATTCTAGCCTTCTGGAGGTTTAG